ACAGAGGTTGTAACAAAGGTGATATACACAGCGAACAACAGAGGTTGTAACAAAGGTGATATACACAGCGAACAACAGAGGTTGTAACAAAGGTGATATACACAGCGAACAACAGAGGTTGCGACAAAGGTGACAGACATAAGGGACAACTGTTACATGGGGTTGCAACAAATATGATGGACAATATACATTACATCAATAACAAGAGAGGTCGCAACAAAGACTGCAGCCACCAGGAACAAGAGAGGCTGCAACAAGAGAAGATTGCAACTAGAGAGGTTACAAAGAAGTTGCAACAAAAATGGTAGACAGAGCACGCCAGGAATAAGAGCGTTTATAGCAAAGATGGCAGAAAATAATTATATATCAGGAACAAGAGAACAAAATGGTAGACCATATTATGCATCAAGAATCAGAAAGGTTGCAACAAAGACGGTAGACATGGTATATTGGCATATCAGGAACCAAAAGGGTTGCCATTGAGATGGTAGACAATATAAGGAATAACAGAGGTTGCAGCCAAGATGGAGGACACTATCAGGAACATTAAAGGTCGCAACAAAGACTGCAGACCACTATGCACCAGGGACCTTGCTTTGCGTTGACATTTCAATTAATCATTTAATACAGACTATCTTTTGGGTGTGTGTGTGTGCGGGGAGTGGGGGATGGAGAGAGAGAGAGAGTGTGTGTGTGTGTGTGTGTGTGTGAGAGAGAGAGAGAGAGAGAGAGAGAGAGAGAGAGGCAGAGAGAGACGGAGAGAGAGAGAGAGAGGGGGGGGGGGGGGGGGGGAGGGAGTTAAACGGTCCCCTTAATACAATCAGCAACTTTCAGGTCGAGGCGGAAGCCACAGCAACATTCGGGAGAAAGGAGGGAAACCGGAAACACTATGCGGATTTCCTGTTAATACTAATACCATGTTTCCCGTTTCTTTCCTTTCTCCAGACTGAGACCGGATCTACTGGCCCGGGGCATGAGGGAGGCGATCACCAAACTGGGAGACAAGACCATTAGGAATGATTTCTTTTATCTATGTTATTGGTTACATATGCTCAAAAAATAAATCTTACTTGTCGAAATTCAAATTCTAAGTGTTTCATTAAAATCTTAAAATCTTACATAATATTGGTTCATTCATTCATCCAGTGCCAGATCTGCAGCAGACATCGGCGATCATGGTTTTTCTTTAATTCCTTTGCTCGGATGCTCTTTAAAAAAGCTACGTTTCCCTGATCTTTCCCCGTTATTTGTTTAGGTTCCCTAAGTATGTTGTTCTGGGTCTACCCCTGCCTCATTTGCCTTCAATTTTGCCTTTGAGAGCTAGATGTTCAAGACCTTTGTGTCTATTCAAGTGTTCCAAAAGCTGCATTTAATTGTCGTTTCCTGATTGTTTTTAATAGTGAGCGTCTCACGTGGGCTTCATCAAGCGCTACCTCATTTGCTTTCTTTTCCTTCCACGATATTCCCAGCTGTCAATGAAGATACACTTGTTAGAAAAATATAAGCGGTTTTGTTTACTCTTTCCTGTAAAAATTAGCTTCCTGGAGGTAGTACAGTGTTAATAAATTGTATTTTAGTTTCAGCAGAGGTTTGACAGCGCTCATATGACCGTATGCAGTAGCGAGCGCCGTAAAACCTCTACTAAAACTAAACTACAATTTGGCCGCTTTTAAGCACAAAGGGGGCTATCCCGAAAAATGCTGTTTTGAGAAAATCGAAAGTAAAGTTTTCGGGACTCTTGTTCAGTTTCTTTAAAAGACAAGGAGAGTTTTCTCTATAACCAAACAAATATACGCACCAATAAAACCAAACATCTTCTATACATAGGGCAGTGCCCACCTTTGGTGTAGATCAAGATTTCAGGAACCCCCGAAATCTGGGTTAGCCCGCTTATCCTTTAAAGCGACCAATTGTAGTTTAGATTTAGTAGAGGTGCTATAGCGCTCATATGACCTTATGCAGTTGCGAGCGCCGTAAAACCTCCACTAAAACTAAACTACAAATTATTAACACTCAACATTTTTGTGGAGGGAACATTGGTTTGTGCAGCTCACCACGTAAAGTCCTACGTAGAAATGTTGACCGTTAAGTCCACGCCTGGCGTTGGGGAAAACCTCGGTGTGAAGGCTGAGGTGATCGTCTCTCATGTCGCCGATGGACTCGAACCGTTTACCTTCTGGTTTCACTATCAAAGTGACGACATCCAGCTGTGTGATAGATAAGATTCACAAGGGTGTTGGTGAAAGGCGAGATCATGGCAGAGAGAGAGGTGCAGAGAGGACTAGAAGAGAGAGAGGGAGTTGGGGTGGGTGTGGAGGTTGGCAGTGTTGCTTTGTTTTGTAGGGTTTGATAAAAAGTGTGTGTGTGCGTGTGTGTGTATGTGTGTGTGTGTGCGTGTGTGTGTGTG